ACAACCTAAATTTAAAAATATTAGTAAAAAGGAATAAACTAATTAATGTTGCAACAGATCGCATTATTGCTAAGTAGCAACTGGTGTAGGTATTGCTATCCTCTTTACAAGTAAACATGGTAATCACGTCAGGATTCATGTGAACATTTTTTTAATTACCAATATTAAGGATGACGTCGTCTCCCATGCAGTTGGCTGTAGTGATGGTGCCTCCAATCTTCACCTGCCGCCTGTGGTAGATATCGTTAGGCCATTTTATTCTGAAACATAATTTTGTGTGCACTCCTTTATTTGAAAATCCAAAACTATTTGACAAGTGTCTACAGTGCCTACAGTGGTAAATAGTCTACCATAACACAATCTTTAGCCTATGGCATTGTACAAATAAAAATGTATCGATCCTAGCTAGCTGGCACAATCGGGGCGATTGAAACGGGGTAGCTAAACTGTAACAAAGGAAAATATTTATTTGGTCCCTTGCCAAGTTCTCGAACTAATTTTTTCTTCTCACAACGCGATATAAAAATGAACTTTAGCCCTATCATATCAGGGTCAAAAGATTTTAATAAATATGTTTGACCGCCTCACCCTATATCCAAGTGCTCGTAGGTGGGTTGGCTGCGGATGGCGCGTACCGCGGCCAGCGCTGCCGCGTGCTGCACCAGCGGCAACGACGGGTTCATCTTCTGCCACACCTGTACAGTCAGCAGTAAATTACCGTTCAAAATGTGTCCGGGCGCCCTCTTTAATGTATGACATATCGAGAGGTCCGATGCACAACCCAATAAGTATTTGCATTTTCATGAAATGAGTTATCTACTCACATAGAACTTTTCTTACACTTTTCAATTGTAACTGAAACGTTTCAGATTCCGTCATGGAAAAAAAAGTACACTAAGAGTTACATAACTCATTTTATGCAAATTCACACCTTCCTGAGTAGCCTCGGATCCCTCGATACGTTTGAATGGAATGACTTAGCCTCTTGGTTCGGGCATATTTTTAATTAGCTTATTATTTATTTATTTATTTGCAAACAATGTTGGTACAAAGATTAATAAGTGCATACTACCCCTTTGGGGTGCAGCAAGTAATTATTGTTAAAGATAAAAAAAAATTATAATAAACAAATACATACAGCATCTTATAATTAACATTAATAGACTTTAAATCATTAAATAGTCTTAAAATTACATATCAGAAACTGGACTATTTGTGCTTATAGGAGAGTTTATGAAGTCTCTCACACCGTAGTAACATCCATTTAACAAGAGGTCTCATTTTGGTATTAAACGTGTTGTCACTTTCTACTTTCTTGAGGGCGTCTGGTATTTTATTATGAAGTAATGCATCTATAGAGCGGGCTATCTTAAACATTTCCAATTTTGGAGTTGGTAATACGAGCTTTGTGTTTCGGCGTGTGCTTTCCACGAATTTAAAAACGTTCAAATGTTGTCTTACAAACATGGCAGCTTCCAAGATGTATATAGACGGAAGAATCAACATTTTTTCGTTTATAAAAGATACATGTAGGCCACTACATGTATCTCTTGGGCGTATATTGTTTATGGCGTAAGCATTGTTTTTTGGATGATAAAAAGATCCTTTGCTTCGGTGCTATGGCCCCATATAATGACGCCGTAGCGTAGCCACGCATATGCATAGTATGCGGAGAGTGCACATTGGCTTCGAGTAATCGTACGGGGGTGACGTCATCTCGGTTCGGTTTCGAATACAACAGTTTGACGTTCGATTCGAGTGCTGAGAATAAAAATGAAAAGAAATCGTACGATATCAAATCGAATCGCTCGACAACTGAGTTATCGTAAGGTTCTAAATCGACCCCCAGAACAGAAACCGCTAAATCATCCTTCAAATTACGTTTCAAATGCACGTATCTGAACACACGCGACAAATCCATCCAATGAGAATAGACGAAATTAGAATCGAAATTTATCGGATTTATTAATTTCCATTGTGAAACCATTACCTGCAGGGACATAGCGGCTTGCCCGGGAGGGGTGATCCAGGTGTTCCCTCCGCGGCCGCGGCCAGCGGTCTGACGCCTAGCGACCGCCGCCACGCCGTGCAACAGAGCAGAGTCCGTCACTAGCATCGTTGTGGACATCACATCGGCGTAAACTACCAGGCGGCCCAGCGCTATTGTGCTTAAATTCTGAAAATATCGTATATATGGTAATTAAGTTTTATTGAATGTCAGGATGTTTCGCTACCATGACATTCAATTATTTTTTGTGAAATTAATGTACTAGTTTGTTATAATCATTAAACAAAGACCAAACGCTTAGATTTTTTTCAATTCTATCCGGTTGGATTCTAATCAACGTCTCCCAGCAAACCGTGCCAGATGCTACGCGAACTAAGCCACGGAACGAACCAACGGACCTCACGAATTTTTCCATGTGTTTGTTGCAGATCATTGCTTTGGTTTTTAACAACTTTTTTTTGCCGTGAGAAATTTATGAATATAGTGTATAAGTACTGAAAAAATACATTACAAGAAAAAGCAAATTTGTTTGAACCTCTTCAGATTTGAATCTTATACAAGTGAAATAAAATTTATTTTAAGATATTTTGGTGTTCTTTTAGGATTCAAATATATTTAGGAAAAGAAACTATTTTTCCGGATTTAAATCGCGTATATATATGTTTTTTCAAACATATTGTCAAGGTTTCGCAATTCCGGTTAAACAATGATTTGACTGCAAATTTACACGGAAAAACAGACACACTTTATGCGTTCCTCCATTGTCCCAAAGAGCGCGCAAAAATTATTAAAATAGTATGACATTTGAGAGCTCTTCAATGGTGCTAAGTGGTCCTAAAAAATCTTTTGATTCGTTTTCTGTAAATTTTAAAATGTAAATTGAGGCACTGTTATACAATGCGATTTTTGTTTGCGTTTTTTTTTTAAATAAATTAAATTTGTACTTAAAACTGAACCTAAGGACTGAAGTAAGTATGAAAGACACATTGTCAATTTATTTGTATTTATTATATATTTCGAAGCAGTTGTTTTTCCTTACATTCAAGTAAATTTTGCGCTTATTGGGCTTGCCTGCATTTTGAATAAAAACATTTCAATTTTTGTTTAAAGGAGTACGTAAGATTATTGTGGTGATATGTATGATATGTGTGATGGTAGCTGTATACTCACATCGAAATACTCGACGGTAGAGAAGTGTTCAGGGCACTCGTACACATACACAGGCAGGAAATAGGCAGAGGGGGATTGGGTGGGATGCTCGTCGCGCAAGCACCACTGCACGGTCAACTCGCCCAATTGCTGCAAGCGCCCCTTCCCCGCGCGGCCCCCACACCAACCATCGATCGCGGACAACTTGTTCTAAGAAAATGTTTTTTGTTATAAAACGTGAAAGTCTCCGTATTGTTTCAGGTTAGCAAAACCAAGCAATAAAATATTACATTTATAGTTTTATTATGTTAGTCAAAATTCTTCATGGTGCAACAAGTCCGCAGTTTACTCTCTCCTTACTATAATAACGTGTGGGCACCATAATGTATAGCAGAGGTTCCCAAACTATTTGTCTCGTAGTACACATGTCAACGTTTTCTGCTTTGTGTAGACCTTTTGCCTTCAAATGTATTTTTGACAGCTGACACAGTGCTATCACTTTCATAAGTTTAACTGCATAGTGAGAAACTTAAAAAAGTAAAGTTTTATACATTTATCGAATCGAATATCTTGATGGTTGTGGTATATTTACGTCATAGGTATTAAATGTCTATAAGTACGTAGGTACTATCTGTGTAATATGGACTATTCCGATTATGGATAGTCTAAACCGTCTAAAGTCGGGTTTTCGCTATACGAAATAATCTCGGATCGAGTTCACTCGGATGACTACTCGTAAGGTGTAACATGTATTATTCGAGCGCACTCGAACATTGGCATCCGACCAGAGGGACTTGGGCGCGGCTTTATCTTTACGAGTTTTGACAGATCAGAGCAACATATGTGATGTTGTCTAATATTTATTATTATTTATTTATTACGAGTATATTTGGAGTATTTTATGAAAACAAAATGGCACCAACTAAGAAAAAGTGAAAGGAACGTGACACTATGAGGTTTTAAACGTGTTTTTATATTCCACTTCTTGAATAAAATTATTTAAGCAGCAGGATACATTTTAAAATTTATTTTCAGGTTTAAATTTTTTATTTTTTCCCTTTCATGATTTTATACTTCAGCCATCAGCATATCTGCTAGAACTCATACCTCGCAGCAGCAGATCAGTGTCATCATCTTGATTGTGCAAAGAGACCAATTACTTGGACGCTGATGAACTCGTAACGTGTAAACCAAAACCCGAGTGGACTCCTCTACGATCTACCTTGTATGAGCGCACTCGGTCCAAGAGCACTCGTTTAGTGAATACCCAGCTTAATGCACAAAAATTTTTTTGTTGACATTCTTGGTTAAGTGGACCGCTGGGGGTTGATTTAGGCCAGTTTAGGAGTCATCGGTGTACAGTAGTGTACAGGAACCTCCGATATAATTTTGGCAAAGAAAAGATGTTACTAGATAGTTTTAAAAAACATATATCCCAACAACGACCATAATACAATAAGCACGAATACTTATTATTATATAGTATTGAAACTGACGACGAGATAAGTTACAGAATATTGCGACCACGCCAAATTAAAAGCGGAACGACGTAATGTTAAAGGGATAGTTAGTGTCGCTTTGCATTATAAAGCGCTATTTAAGTACCACATTACGGCCGCACACCAATGACTGACTCGTGATGTATTATTGTATGATTTCTCAATCGACATTTGCGATCATGTGATAGATTCAAAAATCTTGTTCAATTAATAAATTGAACATGAAATAAGCATTTTAATTTGTCTTATTCGGTTATATTAATAGGTAGCATTTATAAAATATATATTAAATATGTGTTATGTTGTATGTCAACAAATTCTACTCAATAAACTGTTCCAACAAGTGTGCATATCGCTGTGGTTTTAAATATAAAAAGTTAAGTTTCTAGCATGCGTTTTATTTAACAAATCTGATCCAATTTGGCATTACCATCGAATCGAGATCGATGTTTATAAGACTCGTTTAAAGCACAGTTTATTAAAGCATGCTGTAGTTTAAACACAGATCGAGTTATTTTTTGTATTTATTTGTACATTTCAACAAATATTTACGTCATAAGATTCAATTATTTAATATGAAATAAATCGTGTGTACTTATTTTTTCAAACAAACCAACGTTCCGGGCTCTTTACAGGTCCCATAGTCAGAGCTAACTGTGGTGATAAAGTCATCAGCCAGTTATGTCTAATATTAATATTTTAAATATTATATTGGTTGTTAAAACAAAAAAAGTTACAGACTAATGTTAGTAATAAATAACACCTTATAAATATGTTCTAGGTTTAGGATACACGATATTTGGACCAGTGTTCGTCAAAATAGTCCTAAAATAAAGAAGCAATGACACGATAAGAAGAAGACTGGTTGATGACTTAACCATGTCAGGCAGCAGTGACCATGGAACCTGTAAAGAACGGAACGTCCTTTTCTTTTGAAAAAAAAAACAAATATACGCGATTAAGAACCGAAAAAATAGTTTAATTTCCACTTTAGTTTTCAGAGTAGAAGTCGCGAAAGCCTAAAGAATCTATTATTTCCATAAATGAGAGTAAATTTGTATTAATGACGTTAATTGTAGCTCACAATGAATTGTCACCTACATTCTTCGAGTTAACTAAATAACTGAATAACAAATATGCAGCACATGATATCCACAAGACACAAAATAGCTTACAATAAATACAATATTGAATACTATTTATCGAAAATGCATAAAGCCCGAGCGTGCAATAAATTGCATAATTCTATTTCAAAATCTCGCCACGTGCGATGTTTTGTGTTAACATTTACCATAATATAAGTAGCAAATACGCGGTTTGTATAGAGATTCCAAGAGCAGACTGTATATATAGGGCCAAAACGATTCAGACTTGAATGGCATCAGGACTCAAATCAAGGTTAAGCTTTTTTAAACGACTTCACAGGGTGCGTACAGATGTGGCGACTACGCCGCGAACGTGAACAGATCTTACAACGTAATGCTCATTTGCAGCTCGCGAGCCTTCTGTAAACGCGGCGCATTCGCCAGATCTGTACGCACCCAACAGAAGGAGGAGGTTCTCTTTTCGAATGTTTTTTTTTTTGTGTAATGTTACGCGATTACTCCGACATTTTGTGAACCGATTTAGATGATTTTTGTGTTGGAAAGGGTCTGAGATACCCTTTCCAACAAAAAAATAATCTAAATCATCTAGTAGTCTCATTCAAATTTGATGAAAACGACTCATCCGTAGAACAAAGACCTATGTGCACGACTGCTTATTCTCAGAACACTGTGCATTTCGTACGTTGTTCTTTGCTATGAATATCAGATCGACCGTTGTTCGATTTTATTTGTCAGTAACTAAATAAAATAAAAAATTTCTGAAAACACCTATAGATAGGTATTAGTTTGATTAACGAGATTACGTATTTATCATATTTTCGCTGTATAATCACATCAGACTCTATTCTTCGGATGAGACGAAAAGATTCCACCTGTAAGGGTGGCAAATTAGAGGATGAACACGGTTTATTGGATTTCAACCACTTCCGTTAACTGATTTCAACAAAACTTAACAAATAGATGTAATAATATAATAACAATGTAATAATAATAATAATAATAATAATAATAAAAATTTGAGGTCGTTTTTTCAATAAAACGCTATAATTTATTATTGAAATAGTACGTAATTACAGGTAGACAATCAGCCTTTAAACAATGGGTGAATTAAAGAAAACTGACCATTTGTTCCTGGTGATATTTCTATATATTAATTGAACTTTGACAGCAAAATTCTGTGGGTATTATAAATTTTATTGCAAATGTTGTTTATAATTATTAGTACGATCACCACATGCAATATTGTCCTTTTTAACAAGAAAAAGTTACACCACGATTTGGAAAAGAGCATAGGTACATGTAAAGTACCTATAGTGAAAAAAAAATCGCGGTTATCTTGTAAAGTTTTGAGGTAGGTTTGTATTTCTTCTATTGCGAGAACTTTTAGGGATCGTGTTTTCACGCCGTATACTAATCAATGTATATCCTCGACTTTGCTATATATTTTTTCCAAAGCGATTGATTCAACACATTTCATGGTTGTTTCGAGGTTGCATAGACTCCTTATAGCTCAATTTCGCTAAAATGTTTTTTATTTTAATTGGTGTTGTAAATGACAGTATGGACATTTCTATTTTACATCTTATATGTACATATAATCTTCTTCTTCTTATTTTAAACGCTATGGCTCCATCGAAACAAACGATGATTTCGCCAATATCAAGTAAAAATAACTATTTGCGGTATTTCTATTTTATAATGTTACAACCCCATCGATACCCTAATTTTTTTTTTATAATATCAAATGACGGGACGAACAAGATTGAATAATAATTACATCAAATGTGTGTATATGAAGTGTGTGTTCAAATGTAAAACGTAGCAGTGAGTAAACTGTGCGCTACTGATATAAATGAAAAATATCTATTCATACTTTGTTAATACAGTGAAGGAATATACAATAAAAACACAGTTTAGTCGCAAAATTACAGGATTCTATGAAATAATGTATTAAATTATTATTAATAGCAATGACAAGGCGCAAGACAACCACACCAATTGGTCTGTGGAATAGCAATGGAATGCACTCTGTAGTACCTACCACTCGGAACACCCAGAAGACCTACATATATAGAAAAGTTCATTTCCCGATTAGGCCCTACCTGGAATCAAATCCCGAGCCTCCTCGTCTAGCGTCCACAGTGTAAGCCGTTGGGCCACCGAGGACGTCCATTCATTCAATTCAAGCCTGCTCATTAAATTTCAGGTTTTTTAGGAATTGACCTTATCACAAGTCTTGTTTAAGAATCAGAGTGTTGACACCTTCACACAAATGTGGATTCTATACTATGAATCATAATTAGATGTCCACAATGTAAACAAAGGGGATAACCAAGCAACGTAATTTTTTTTTTTGGTAGTTTCCTTTAACCCCTAAGACATTTAAGAAAGAAACGTTTAAAACTGCCTACCCCGATGGAAAAAACGCGTGAAGTATATGTATGTACGTATGTAGAACTCTTTTCAAGCTGTAACATGATAAAACTTAAAACAATTCACATTTTGCTATATACATATATAATAGGGGTTAAAGTATGAAATTGCCGATTTGTACTGAAAATCTAAATTGTTAATTTTTTAAATTTTTAACAAATTTATTTAATCA